CACACACACACACACACACACACACACACACACATTACAGGTGCTGTGGACTGACAACCAACCACAAGAGGGCGACACAAAGAGCAAACTCGGCATCTCTCTCTCCCATTGGTTTGCCTTTAGGCTCTAGGTGTCTCGCACCTGTTTGAAGAGCAGCTCTTGTTCTTCCGGTCTCTGCTCCTCTGTGAGATCAGGAGGTTCCTGTTTAATGAGGAGGCTCATGGGAAGTGTTTCCGTCTGTGTGGCATCCTGCTGCTCTCGGAGCTCTTCCTCCGTCTCTTCTGGGTGGCTCTGGTGCTGCCGATCACAGGGTTTACTCAACATCTAACAGACAGACAGAGTAAAGACGATAAATCCTAATAAATCATTGTTTCAGGGTAGGGCTGGGCGGCATATCGAGTTTGTACGATATATCGATATAATCTTTATAAGCGATATGGTATGAAGCAATACCGTTTATCTCGATATACAGTAGTTTGATACGAACGCATCTGAAAAAGTGGATGAGACAGTGAGCTGCTGCGGGGCAAGTGCATAATCCATTTTGTCCTAAACATGAGACATGCTTTATATTAAGGGCTTTAAAATAACTGGTAAGATATAGCATAAAAATACAGATTTTTTTGGCCCTATCGCCCAGCCCTATTTCAGGGTACAGTTCAGTTGTTGCTGAAAACGTATATTGAGTTTATTAGTCATTTTGCTGATGCTTTTGTCCAAAGCAACTCACATTGCATGTTATCATTCCCTGGGAATCAAACCCATGACATGGCGTTGTTAGCACCATGCTCTACTTTTCACCATTTTACATTTTTTCACCATGCTTTCTTGAACCATATTGAGGTGTTCTCATTTAGACAGACAAAACAGCTGCTCTTCATTCAGGACTGCAGGGACTGTAGGAAAGAAAGTCTTTTCTCGAACACTGAGTGAATGGACTCACTTTGGTTCAAGCTAGAGCAACTGGGACTAAATACATAAGACTAAATTTAATTTGATGCTTTTATTCAAAGTGACCTGCAGTGCACTCAAGGTGCCAAAGCCGAGCTGAACTACATCGTCACAGAATCAAAAGCCTGTCTGTAGCCAGGCTGCAAACACCCGCTGGCCAGGCGCCAGAGAACATTACTGACGTCAGAGCCTCCTTTGTTTCCTCATCTTTATCTTTCTTCCAAACAAGCGTTTCCTTCTGAACGTGAGGAACTCCAGAGTGAGAAGCTTCCAGCCGGAGACCCTCTGCTGAAAGACTGATGTTCAGTGGTGTGTTTAAATACACAGACACGCAGAGACTCGCACGGGAGAAGCACACGGCCCTGCAGAGTTTAGCTTCAACCCTAATTAAATGCACCTGATCCAGTTCTTTAGGCTTATTTGAAAACTACTTGCTATGTGTGTCAAAGCAGGAAATAAACTCTGCAGGGCGACTGTGGCTCTCCAGGAACTGAGTTTTGCACTAGGGCTGTCAAAAAAAAATTTGAATTTCGAATAGAATTGAAAAAAATATCCACATTTTTAGTTCTGCGTCAGCCGTCAGGCAGCTTATCAGTGGCGCACGAAATGCGACAACGATGTAAGTGTCACTGCATTTGAATGCTTTTGTTAGCCTATCCAGTTGAACCCACTAGATGCGGCGCTGCTACGTTGTTCATTCAATATATTGCGGAAAACGAGAGCATCAGTGTGGAGATGTTGTTTACGTCAAAACTGAAACCAAGCCGTTCACACAGAACGCATATTTCGCACATTTTCTAGAGGGACATCTATCATCTAAATTAATGTAAGATCAACTTTTAAAAAACATGTCTAAAGACGTTATGGCGGTTTTCCCCATCCCACTGCATCTCATGTTTTTAAATGTAGAAAGTAACTTACTCTTTGTGATTGGTTTTCGGTCCTTTGTATTAAACTATACATACATGCATGGTGCTGTTTTTTTTCTTCTAATTGTTTAAGCAACTTTATTAATTATATATGGTTTATAAACATTATTTTAAACATTATGCACATTTTTCTCTCAAAGATAGTCGTGTTATTTTATTACGCTTTGAAGAAACGTGCATGATATTAAGCTCGATGCGCCCTCTTGTGGCCTCAGGAGAGAAGCCAGAAGCTTTTTTTCCCCTAACTGAAATTATGCCTTTTAAATTCGAATATAATAAAAATTTTGATAATATTTAAGTAAAAAATTCGAATTTAGTTTTTCAGTCATTTTGACAGCCCTATTTTGCACCCTGCTGTAGAGCACCACTGAACAAGCCCGTTCTGCTGATATGAAACCTTGACCTCACATTATATTCGGCGGGACTCGAAACTCAGGCCAGATCCTCAGCTGTCAACATACCATCATGTGCTGGTAAAATATCTGTTTCCTTGCAGCATTCACCATTAACCACCTGAACGGTAACAGCAGTAAACAGAACCGCAGGGACGATATTAATCACATCCACCTGAGATATTCCCAACAACTGAGTCTCCGCTACAGCTAATTATTACAAGCACTTCATCTGTCATGGTAGGGATAGGGTGAAGAGACTGATGTCTGACCTTGTTGATGTGGAGCTGCTGGAAGTGCTGCTTGTGTTTCTCCAGGAACTGCTGGTGCTGTTGTTGAACCACGAGCTGCTGGAGTGCCTGGCTGCTCTGGGGCAGAGGAGCCGACTGAGTGCGGCCCAGCGTCCGGTGCTGACGCAGCTTCTGCAGTGGACTCGCTCCGATACCTGCAACAACAGACATTCCTCATGAACACACGCATGTGGGCGCCAGGATACACTCACGACGGCTGGGCAGAGATAATCTGACAGCCGTCTCGGTTCAACTGAGTTTCCAAAACCGCTTGACACTGAAACACCCTGTAAAATACGTTCATTCATTCAGGGTTCTCCACAGACGTCACGACCGTCCATGCGTGGCTGACCTGGCATCTGAAGACGGCTTTGGGTCCCGCGGGTCTCTGCACCCATTTGATCGGGTTCATTGTTTCGCTTCCTGCTCCCATTCAGATAATTAGAGGCGTATTCTTCTGGTCCTGTGGGAGCGCGAGTGAACCCAGCTGGCACGCGGTGCTGGCATGAAGATCGCTCCGCCTGGCACACCGTGTTCCTCTGACCTCCTGCCGCGAGCGACTCGGAACACTGATCTAATTAACCGAGGGACCCCGGACTCGGGCCGCACCTCAGCCCCGTTATGGGCAACGGACTGTTCACACATTTCAAGGTTTATGTAACGCTTTGACAGCGGCCCTGGAAAACGCTCCGCGATCCGGGTCAGTAGCTATTACGCAAATAAAAAGGTTTGTAATGGCCTGCACACTGTTACTAAACCAGGACAGAAACTCAAAGAACTCTGAGCTCTACTCACCTGCGGCCAAAGGACTCGGTGAGGCTGATTGCTCCAGAAGGACCATGTGCTGCAGCAGTGCATTGTGGGAGTTTGCAGTGTCCGAATTGCCAAGAAATGACGGCAGGTGAGAGGCGACCAGGAACGGAGTGCTTATGGGTAAACCGGTCACAGACAAACATTCGCTGTCAGGCTGGGTAGACGTCACCTTGTTGAAGAAGCAACAAAATAAAACTGAGCCTTTTCCAAAGCATCACATGACGAAGCAAAAGGAAGATGAGTGCTGACCAAACGCTCCTAACCAGGTGGACAAACACAGGTCGATTATGACTGTTTCTCACATGCAGATCAGATCAGTACGGTATTAACTGGGAATGTTACAGTGTTACAGTCTAATTACTATGTCTATGTTCCAGTATAAATATCTAAACATCCTTTAAAAACTACATTTACATTTACATTTAGTCATTTAGCAGACGCTTTTATCCAAAGCGACTTACAATTGGGGGATACATAAAGCGATTCTTCTTAAGAGAGGCAAACAGACACAAGAAGTGGTTGTAATACCAAGTTCTTAGACATTGTTAGTGCTTATGGGTAAACCGGTCACAGACAAACATTCGCTGTCAGGCTGGGTAGACGTCACCTTGTTGAAGAAGCAACAAAATAAAACTGAGCCTTTTCCAAAGCATCACATGACGAAGCAAAAGGAAGATGAGTGCTGACCAAACGCTCCTAACCAGGTGGACAAACACAGGTCGATTATGACTGTTTCTCACATGCAGATCAGATCAGTACGGTATTAACTGGGAATGTTACAGTGTTACAGTCTAATTACTATGTCTATGTTCCAGTATAAATATCTAAACATCCTTTAAAAACTAATTTAATTAAAAGTCAAATCAGACAACTTCACAGAATCTGTCTTGAATTAAGTGCATTTTTCTAACCCCTTGTAAAAACTGTTGTAACAGCACAAGCTCAGTTAGGTCTGAACACTCACGTTGTTGGTGGCAGTGGCCGGCAGACCCAGGGTGATGTTGGGTAGTGAAGGAGATGTGTAGAGAGACAGCTGACTAACCGACCCGTCCTGACCAGCCGGCCTGTGAGACGACTGGAGCACATTCACATCAACACTTTTAGCAGATGCTTTTATCGAAAGCGACTTAGAATAGACGAACATAAGCAATTTACCACAGAGCCAACAGTATTCACGGTGTAGAATGCCAGGTTTATTAGAAAGCTAGACTAGGAAACAAGCTAGAGCAGAGATGAAATGTAGAGAAAGATGAATTGTGTGTGTGTGTGTGTTAGAGGTCTGCACGGGCTTTAAACTGAAGCCCGTACCCGAGTTTTACTTTTGCTACAAACCTGAAACCCAACCTGAAACCCGAGAGTAGTTCGGGACCCGTCAGGCTCGTGTAGGGTAGCAGACATCTACGCACACACACACACACACACACACACACACTCACTCGGACACACACACACACACACACACTCTCTCACACACACACACACTAGCCTCACCTCAGTCACACTGATGCCGTTCTCGCACAGGTTTCCGTGTGAGCTGTTGTTTGGGGAACTGGGTCCAGATCCAGGAGCGCTGCTACACACCGAATCTACGGACCATCAGAAGAAGAGAGAGAGTTTGTCTGTGTGAAAACAGTCACGTGTCCATGCCAGCAAACATGAGCACGTCTCGAGCATCACCTGCCATATCCAGAGAGCGTTTCTTGAGCGTGCTGATGGGACTGTCTTTGCGGCGCAGTAACGGGCTGCTCCTCCGCTCCGACACCTTCTGCTTCAGCCGCGAACGCAGCTTCAGGTTCGGTTCAGACGCTGCAACGACACACACAATGACAGAAGCTGTTTTCATGTGCTGCCTCGCTATATGTAGAAACTGTGAATAGAGTGCATGTTTCATTTAGAATGAGGTTTGTCCAACTGCTCCATGCCATCACAGGCACAAGTGCAGATGCTAGTAATACTAGAGTTACTAGCGGGAGATTCTGTAGGCCTCACCACAGAACAAACACAAGCGTCATTACAGCACACGCAGGCGATGAAGCTCACCGATACATACGGAGTAGAAACCTAACACAGAAGAGTGAGGTGAGGGAGAAAACATAACCTGGAAACCAGCTTCACAAGAGCAAACTAATGATTGCAGACTACACACAATGCTTCAGTACATTCTCACATGATTCTCCATGGATTTATCAAAGAGACTCTATGCGCTGCCTGGCACCGATTCATGAGGTTTGGTAAGTTACTATGAGCATGTCCACAGAGGTTTTGCTGTCTGGTATGAACAGCAGCTGATGCGGAGCCTCTTCTTCAACACTGAATGGCTCAGATCGTGACGTGTGCCATATTCTCTCATTTGATTTTTAAGATGACGATCAACTGCACGCGTCAGACGTCACTCTGCGTGCTCTCCATCCGGCCACAATGTTTCAGTACATTCTCACATGATTCTCCATGGATTTATCAAAGAGACTCTATGCGCTGCCTGGCACCGATTCATGAGGTTTGGTAAGTTACTATGAGCATGTCCACAGAGGTTTTGCTGTCTGGTATGAACAGCAGCTGATGCGGAGCCTCTTCTTCAACACTGAATGGCTCAAATCGTGACGTGTGCCATATTCTCTCATTTGATTTTTAAGATGATGATCAACTGCACGCGTCAGACGTCACTCTGCGTGCTCTCCATCCGGCAGTAGATTTACCTCCGTTTGACATCTTAAGTCAGAATCTCAGCATTACAAGAAAAGGTAGATTCATTCGGCTGTTGTCCCGCTCTCTTTTCATTCAGTCATTACTGGAAATGATGCTCGTGGCTCTGTGAAATACGGGAAGATCCTAACAAACGGCTTTCCATTAACATAAGCAAATTCCACAAACTCGTCACTAGATGGGAAAAGCGCAGAGAATGAATCGGGTTATTGGGGAGAGCCGCTGCTCTGGGACGAGACATCCGATCACTTCACCTACAGGACGGTTTCATCTTATGTTGTGTAGGACATCAGACGCTGCTGTTTGTAGCAGATCACACGCACACACCGTCTACACTGTTTAGCTGCAATCACAATGTTGGGGAAAGTTAATTTTGCTGTAGGACAGAAACATATGAAGCTGAAAATAAGCCACCTACAGTCCCAATTAAACTCAAGTTATTGAGGATCTACAGCAATGAAACATCAAGACTGAACCAAACTAAATCTGCTGCAGCTCTCGATCCTGGAGCCCAAACACACTCTTCTCAGTCAGACTGATCCAGTCTCCACACACACACACACGCACGCACTCACGCACGCACTCACTCACTCACTCACTCACTCACTCACTCCCTCACTCACTCACTCTCTCTCACACACACACACACACACACACACACACACACACACACACACACACACACACACACACACACACACACCTCTTGCCAAACTCATGGCAGCATGCTGGAATGCGCTAATGCTGGCCAGAGTAAACTGTGGCTCATATCCAGCGCTGGGCTCGAGTCAACAGCACCGCACCGGCTTCACTGCTAAGTGAATAATTATACGGTACAAGCAGCGCTCAGCGACGGCTTCCTCTGAAGGTTAGGATCCGTTCATGCCAAAAGTCTCGCAAGACAAGAATCTCACCAAAACAGAGCCGCTATTTCTGTCAGTTTGCAGAAGAACTGATAACACGTGAAGTGAAGCACCTGTTTTGCGCAGTGGAAAGTCATCTTTGGAGTCGTAGACGCTCATGGCAGGAGGGTTGTAGAGACTAACGCTGGTCTGAGGAGGGGAGCTCTGATCCAAAGAACTGTGCTGAGTTTTCCTGCACAGAAAAAGACAGACAGAGAAAATAGAAAAGCAGTAATTAAAAACACAAGCGATGGGAAAAACATGATGAACTGATACGGGCCACAGGCTCTCCAGCTTTAACATCAGAGTAAAGATCAGCAGCGTGAATCATTGTAATTATGCAGTACAGTGAGGAGGGTTAGGTTTACGCTACACATCCAGACACATGGGCTGCAGGTTCGAATCCCATTTTCCCTCCATTTGCCCCATCTGTTCTCAGCTGCCTGACACATTGAAGCCAAAAAAGGCCACGAGAGAAAGGATTTCAAGCTGAAAAGTGTTGTTATATTTAGACACCACAAATGTAGCTGGATCACCCGTCTCTGGTTAGAGCAGATACACAGGTCTGGTTAACTCTTTGTCACTCTTGACTGTTGTTTTCATACGTTTGTGCTTGAATAACAAACAGAAGTGGCGCTGCGTGTGACGTTTCTTACCCGTACCAGTAGCGTGGGTTGTTGGAGATGCAGTGGTTGAGACTGCGCTGAGCGAGCGCTTTCTTTTTATTCAGAACAAACTCCTGCAGACGCATCTTCACTTCTGTACTGGCCACCGCACCTGTTCACAGCAGAGCGCAGGATTTACCAAAGCTCGCCGTCAGACGAAACTGCTGAGCACAGCTTTATTTCAGTGTAACTGACGTTTATTACTACTGACATCAAAAGGATTCTCTTACTTAGAAGTAACACAGTGAATAACTGACTGGGACACATAATGAACTCACTCTCCTGGCCGCGTTCTTTGTTCTTGAGGAGCTGGAGCTTCTGCTCGCGCTGCTGTTTCTCCAGCTCCTGCTCCAGCCGGTGCTGCTCCATCTTCCTCTGATGCTCCAGCAGCTCCTGCTGATGCTTGAGGGCCAGAAGCTCCTGCTGATGCTGGTGACAGAACAAGCACACAGGTTAACAGCTGGTTGATGTGGCTAGCGGTTAAAGCTGAGGGACAATATTCGTCGGGTGTCAGAATCAAACCCAGCAAACAGAAACTCATGACGCATCAGCATTGAGCAGCTGAGCTCAGGTTACTCCAGACTGAACCTGCACGGTCCGTCACATCTGCCACATGTCTACAAGTCCATGCAACTATGCCGGCCCTTCCCATCAGCAGGGGCCCCTGGGCTACAACATTACAGTAGGCCCCCCTAAACCAGATCATTTTATTTAATTATTTATTTTAACTTCCTGATGATTATTTTTTGCAGAATTTAGATTTTTTTTCTTGTTGATATGCCAGTTAACATTTACAATACTGTTCTACATCTTTGGTGATTGCTAACTGCGTTTTATTTTGAAACATGTTTGAAAGCTCCTGAAATTAAAATTGCACTGAAAGCACTTTGGACTTTGGGTATTGTCAAGAGGAAGATGAGAGACACCAGACCCAACAATGCAGATGAGCTGAAGGCCGCTATCAAAGCAACATGGGCTTCCATACCACCTCAGCAGTGCCACAAACTGATCACCTCCATGCCACGCCGAATTGAGGCAGTAATTAAAGCAAAAGGAGCCCCTACCAAGTATTGAGTACATGTACAGTAAATGAACATACTTTCCAGAAGGCCAACAATTCACTAAAAATGTTTTTTTATTGGTCTTATGAAGTATTCTAATTTGTTGAGATAGTGAATTGGTGGGTTTTTGTTAAATGTGAGCCAAAATCATCACAATTAAAAGAACCAAAGACTTAAACTACTTCAGTCTGTGTGCATTGAATTTATTTAATACACGAGTTTCACAATTTGAGTTGAATTACTGAAATAAATGAACTTTTCCACGACATTCTAATTTATTGAGATGCACCTGTACATGGATGCACCAGTCAATAACCACCACCAACTGTTATCAGCTGTTCATCTTGTGATCGGATAATGATTTAAATATCTGAAAGTACACTCTTAATATCAGTCAGTCAAGCATTATAATATGATAATCAAGTATTATTTAATAATAGAAGTTTAGTAATTAGAATTAAAACTTGGTAAACATGAACTTAGGACTGGTGCTGTGGTGCTTTTTTTGGTCATTCAGTGTTCCTGTAAAAA